GGTATAGAGGAATGCGCGAACTGTGACGCCTCTCTACTATTTGCTATGTAATGGCGCTCTACTACTCACTACCCAACAAAGCGCAACCACGTGCCTGTCTCTACTACTCGCTATGTGATGGTGCTCCACTACTCATTAATTGAGGGAAATGAAACGAATCTTCAGCTAGAAGATGGAAAAAGATAAATCTGCGGAAGGATAGGGAAAGACTGCCAGGAAGGTCACCCTACTGTCTTCCCCCGAACATAACGCACCTTAAAAATGAATGTATACAAGCTATATTTCCGACTAGATACAGCCAAAACAAGGGTGCGTTGTGTTCGGGGGAAGACAGTAGGCCGGGTTTTACTTTGGTAGGTCTTTTCCCGATGGTTCTGTGCAAATCTGCTCCAGCTTTCTTAAATCTCTATCTAGTACACGGCCCCACTCCTTGTGGAGGTTTGCTTGTGACCTACGTTTCACGCCTCGGGCCTACCGACTGCAGTGGCTGCTAGCGGTTTGGAAAAGCTGGCCGAGCAGTGCAGAAAACCTCGAGGTGGTTTAAAAAGGGGTTAGCACATAGCACAGGACATGCCGTGTGCTGAATGTCAGAAGCCAAGAACCCCGCATGATGAGGATTCCAAACTTGAATCAAATGAAATTGACCTCTGTGTTCCCTAGCCCTCATCCAAAATCAGAGAATTCGAAGAGTCGTCACTCGAGAGTCAGACTGACGACTCTCGATGCACTCTCTATTTTGGTTGCAGATTGAGATCACTGAAAGTCAGTAAGCCCAAAGAGATGGGAATTAGCAATCCTGAATACAACGAAGTGGAATTGGAATTCTGTGACATGGTAGTTGAATCTTGCTTAAGCCAGTGTGGCCTAGCCGTTGTCCTTGAGGATGTACATCTTAGCCTCTGTGTCCTTGAGGAGGTGGATTCGCACAGCGTGCCAAAAAAGACACGATCCCCTGTGACACAATCCATTTTTGTTTTGTATTGTCTGGTGGCAACTGACCGAATCTTATGCTGAACCCCGAAGGCCGTGCCTTGTATGCAGCTCCGTTGGAACGCAGTAGATGTGCTGTGTACAGCTGGGTTAAGCATCAGCCAAGCTGGGCTGTGTACTGGTGGTTTAAGCAATCGCCCATGAAACCGATTTGAGTCGAGAAAATGTGGTGCGTTGTTCGCGGTTGGATGTCAACTATTTCTGCCTGATAGTACAGAAGGACGAGTCTCTGCTTCTACGGACAAGCTTGGTGATGCGGGTTCTCGTCTGCAGATTTGCAGATCTGTGCCTCATTTTACTTCGAATTCTAAGTTGTCCACAAGGACGTCAAGAGAGGGTACAAAAGAGTATAATCTTGTGTAAATAATACAGCGTGGGGGTAATAATAGAGTGAAGAAGGCGGTTAGCTTTGGGGGTAATAATAGAGTGAAGAAGGCGGTTAGCTTTGTCGATGCGCACTATGTTCGTGTGCTGAACACAAATTTTGCGACTCCTGTTCGTGTGTGCAGCTTGGCGAGAATTGCCAGACTAGGGCGATCGGCGATGCGATTGTGCTCATTCGCAACAAGTTTGTGAACGGTCAGTTCCACATCTCAGCATGAAACACTTGCAAACGTGTCTCCCCCCTTCTGTGATTTCTCGGCTTTTTTCCTCTTACTTCTTTCGTAATCATGCATAATTATCTTTTATTATGCGACGTTGATTTCTTTGCCCATTGTGTTGCTATGTCATGTCACATCTAAGAGCTCTGTGAGCTTCATGTCCTCTGTTGCTTTTTGTGGCGTGCCTCATTTTCTGCCTGAGGGATATTTGCAACTGACCGGTGACCGACAGAACATTGATTGACCAATCTATCTTTTCATCTATCAGCCAGCCAACCGGCCAACCAATCAAGCAACCAAATAGTCATTCACCCGATGAATGAATGAATGGACGAATGAACGGAGGGAGGGAGGGAGGGAGGGAGGAAGGAGGGAGGAGGGGAGGAAGGAAGGGAGGAAGGAAATGTGAATCGGATTTGACCAAGTAATCATTCACCCGATGAATGAATGGATAAATGAATGAAGGGAGGGAGGGATGGATGGGGGGGGGAGGGGAGGATGGGAGTGTGAATTGGATTTTAAAAATATCCGGTTTCATGTAAGCTTTGCCAGATATCTATCACCAGTTGGAGCCAAGCCGTTAGCATCATCTGGACTGGCCTCCTGTACTATCGACTTTGCCTTTCTCCTTGATGCCATCTTTTCCTCTGTGCTTCACTATTGGGTTACCCAACTGCAGAAAGGGTAACCCATTCCCTGTACGCAACATTTCCCCTTAAACGCAAGCAGTAATGTACCCTGTCTCTCTCTCTCTATCTCCCGATCTCCCTCTGTATGACTACAGGTATTGCTTTCTCTCCACTCATCTCTGTCAACAGCATGGAGAGCCTAATTCACGTGTGTGTGTGTGTGTGTGTGTGTGTGTGTGAGAGAGAGAGAGAGAGAGAGAGAGACGTTGCTGCTGTGGGTTTTGTATGGGAGTCTAGTCAGATGTTACGGGCTCTGCTGATAAGCTGTTGGTGTGATGTTTTTTGCATGGGGGTATTGACAGGTGTTATTGTTTCTAATATTGTTTATGTGCTTTTTTTTTGTCTTTGTAACTGCTGCTCTTTTGTTTTGAATTCTGTGCCGATTCCGCTTCATCTCATGTTGTTTGATCGACACTTGTGTGATTTGCAGGAAAACGCTCTCTTGTAGAAATAATGAAGATGCTTGAGGAAGAAATTGATGCGCAGGGTTTGGACGCCCTTTCTCCTGGGATGTTTTATGGTTATTATGCAAGGCCGCGGGCATTAGAAATTGCTGCGGCGCTTAATCGGTTGCGGACATTGAAAATCAGACGACAAGTATTCACTTCAAATTTTATCCCTACCCGTGCCTTATCTACGTGCCATTTTCCCGTCCTGTTTGTGTGTTTTGCTGTTTATGCTAAAACAGAAGTGTCATTGTCAATCTGTACATTACGGAGCACCTCCCTCTCTGCCAGCGCTTGGCTTTTGCTCGATATAACCATTTGTTTTTTTCATGGCTCGACTTTTTTAATGGCTTTAGCTCCCACCCTCTCCCCCAAGCACCTGTTTCAAGTCGCTTCAAAGTGAATGATCGGAAGCGGTGTCTGGTAGCCATCTGTAGTCAAGGCCACGCATGCATTTTTCCCCCCACTGAAGCTACTGGTAAAAAACACCTCTCCCCCCCCAAAAAAAAAACAAAAAACCAAAAAAAAACGATGCTGCCATCCCTGGCTGCTCCGAAGTTACGTGTGATTAATTAATGCCCCCGTGTCACAACATCAGGTCTGTGCCCAATTGAAGCCTCCCTTGATTAAACCACCAGTACATTTCCTAGCTTTTTTTTTTCAGCGGCGTGCCGGGTAACGTACGTTCTGACCTGAAACGGAAGGGTGGCCGCCGATAAATCGAATCGGCGGCCAGTCTTGGTTTTCGGGCCGGGCTGGAGAGCAGTGCCCGTGGCTGACATATAAGAAAGGTACCGGTGAATTGACAACGAGGTTCACCTTCCAATTTCACAAGGCCAATTGCCCACGTATTGGACCCGCCTCCAGGCCTGCAATTCCGTCCGGGGGTCGTTTGCAAGGGAATGACCATCCCAAATTTAATTCTGCGAGGAGACTTGTAAGACCTCCTCCTCAGAAGGTCCCCTATCCCCTCCCGCCCTCCGCCCCCCCCCCAAAAAAAAAAGAAAAAAGAAAAAGAAAGAAAACAACACTCCTGTCCTTCGTCCAGGACCCCGGGGCTGGGCTACATTACACCTCACAACACGTGCTTTTCTTACAGTACACCTCGCCACACACGTACTGCTCACCAGCGGAAGCAAGCGGATGTTGAAATGAAAGGAAAGACCCCACAAGGAAGCCTTTATTTCAGAGCCTTGTCATTGTGGGAAAGCTGCTGCGAGTTTCCGCCATTCCATTTGTGGCAACAACCTCCTATTGGCAGATGCTGCCAAGAAGGGCCTATCACGACTTGGAAGCTGCCAAGAAAGGGCCTATTAGGATTGAATGGGGTAGCTGCTGCCAAGAAGGGCCTATTCAAAATAAAGGGCCTATTAGGATTGAATGGGGTAGCTGCTGCCAAGAAAGGGCCTATTCAAAATAAAGGATGCCAATTGAAGCTGCCAATCTTGGAGCTTCCAAAGGATTTTCCTTCTTGTGCAAATTTCTGTCCTATCACGATTTGTAGTTGCGAAGAAGGGTTGCATGGGGCATGAGCTCCCATTAGGGTGGAATGGGGGAGCTCCAAGATTGGCAGCGCTTCCATTGGCATCCTTTATGTTTTTTTTGAATATGTAAATAGGCACAAGAAGGGAAAAGGTCAGATGATTGTCATGATGGATCGTGATTTTGGTTTAATGGGGCCCTTATTGGGGTGGGGTGGGGGGGGGGGGGGGGGGGGGGGAGACGAGGATGGGGGGCTACAAGTTTCCTAAAGCAGCCCTGGGAACCCGAGTGAATGGTGTATGCAAGCGTGCACAGTGGTGTGCTTGTGTAAGTTGCTTGGTTGTGGTGGACTCTCCTGGATTGCAACCCCCATTATATTTCTGACTGGGAAAATGTGTCCTTGAATGTATTCTGGATTGTCCGGACAGATTCTGTAATCTGTGCAAATGCTGGTCAAGCAGCCGATGTCCGTCCGGATTTCAATTAGAAAGACGCTGTTGTTTTGTTCCCTTGTTAGAGGCACTGCTGAACACTTCCAATGCACAAAGAGTCAGAGAGTGATTCAAGAAAGCAAATGTTCCTTGCTACACATCTGATGAAACGTTTCAAAAGCCCAAAGACAAGATAATCATGTTCGGATCATCAATAGACTCAAAGAAAACTGTCTGAGTCTCTCTCTCTCTCTCTCAATGGAGGCCTCGGTGGTTGTCCGATGCAGGCACACACCTTGGAGGGGGGGAGGGGGACACACACACAGACTCGCACACACACACACACAGATGAGGCGGAGA